TTTTTATGACGGTTGTTATTGGTTGAGAGTTTAATTTCTAAAAACATTCTACAAAGTGGAGGTGTTTTCTCGAAACTTTTATATCATAGAAGCCTTCCATCATTGTTTACGAATTGTCAACTAAAATCAAGTGATTTGAATTGTTATGTAATGTGATGATGGATATATATTAAAAGGGTTAGTTTGTGAAATAATGGGTAAAGAATCATTATATTTATGGGTAGGGCCAGCTGTGGTATCAACTTATATTGAAAACGGCAAGACAATAAATATGCTCCAACTCATGTTTCTTTCTCACCAAAAGAGAGTGCCAGAACCAAAGTGGGACAAAATTCAACAACCATTGTACGAAAAAAATATATAAATATATTAAAACCCGATAATTGACATGTATCAACTGAGAGATTGTAGATTCGATCTCAACATATATATATATATGATCTATCCATTTAAATTTTCCATCTTTTGATTCTTTTAATATATAAATATAGTAAGATTAAACGACATAACTGAAACAATTTTAAAGTTTTTTAAGTACAACGTTTCACAAAGTAAATTAAAGAAAAGTGTAAGCCGAAGCTGATAAAAGAAATAGAATTGTAATGTCTGAAACTTTTTGAGTTGGGAGTATTCCTCCAGCCATACCCCATAATGAACCTCATTTCTTGCATGAATGGAGCATGAGCTAGTTCATTGTAACTTCCAGAGATAAATCGTACTCTTTCAGAATCTCTCTGAAAAGGGTCGAATTTTTTTGCTATTTATATTTTTTTGTTGGAGATATAAAGAGTCTCGAGTTGAAATAATACTCTTACGAGATGTGTTGTGTTAATTTTTACATGGAAGCATTTTTTAATTGCTCTAATTTTCTAAAGCGACAATATCATACTTAATGCTCTAATTTATAAACGGTTAGGTTAATGAAAATTATTTAAGATAATTGGAAGCATTTTTTAATTGCTCTAATTTTCTAAAGTGACAATATCATACTTAATACTCTAATTTATAAACGGTTAGGTTAATGAAAATTATTTAAGATAATGTATTTGTTACTGTATTATTGATGAATATAATTTAGTTTTATATATATAATTTTTATTTAACAGTAATTATAATGTGATATATACGAGTATTTGTGAAAGTTTTAAAAGTTTATTGATCTTACTTACCAAGATATATGGCGGTTGTAGTTGACACGAAGTCCATTTTGGTATCATATGGTAAAAGTATTTATCAAATGTACTTCTTTACATTTTTTTATATAAATTAATTATGATGTGACATTGTCGCTTAAACAATAGTGTAATATTTGTACCTCAATATACTTTTACTGAAATATAAAACTTTTAGTGCATTATATTATTGTACAAATAAAATTGGATACTCTCAATATATACATACATGTACTTTTTTTAGGCTTGTCTTTCTATTTGAAGGTGATAACTAATAAAAATAACTTAATTTGACTATTGACTTGTGAAAAGTCTTGAAAGATCAAAAGTTGTGACACCTATATCTACCATTTAAAATGTTCCTTTTTTTTTAAATTTTTATTTTAAATGGTAGTTAAAATTTTAAATGGTAGATATAGGTGTCACAACTTTAAAAATTTACAGTAAAATTTTTAAAAATGATAAAAATTTTAAAAATTCAAGTTTAGAAAAGAAAAGTTATTGAGAAAAAAAAATAGGGAGAGGGTTTTGAAGAAGCAACCTATCTACTAATCGTTTGATGCATATTCGAAAACCTTTACGTTAGAGAGAAATAGATCTCACATATCTCCAGTGATATCTGCATATTCGAACTTGCTCATTCGCCCTTTTCCTCGATCATGAAATTTACAGTAGCATCAAGAGCCGGGGAAAATAAAGTCCCTGGACCAGACGATTTCACCGTAGCATTTTTCAAAGATCTCACATATCTTCCGTATTATTTTTATTAAACTGCATAACTCTACCTAGGTTGTGAACTAATACTCGTCACACTAAAAATAAATGCTCAAATTTTATGTATTTGTTGAGCATGCAAACATAGGTCTACGTACATCTCTAATAATATATCTTCATTAGCATAAATAATCTTTATATATAGAGTTTGAAAGTAAAATTAAACCATTATTGGATTAGACTCTGGACATTATTATAGATACAAAGAAGAACGATTGATTATCCTAAAAATAGATTTATAATCATTAAAATAAAAGAAAATCAGAACCCAAAATCGAATGTTGGTTACAAATTAAGAAACAAAACAAAATTAAATGAGGATGAATTAACTTCAAAATATCTTAATCGATCCTTCGTTTGTTTTGCCCAGTAACAGTGAAAAAAAAATAGTAAAAGGAGGATTTGACTGAGAAATGTGAAAAAGGAGCATTACATTGGTGTGCCATTAAACAAAGAAGAAGAGCTAATTAATCATATATAAACCAAAATGGTGGGTGGGATAATTAACTTCCGGAAGGAATAATATAGATTTGAAAACACAGCTTTCCATTTTCGAATCAGACATCTTTTTATTTTTTTTCCCACTTCCAAAACTACCAAATTTTGAATTACCTTGTTATTTTACATAATAAAACATCATTAATTATTTCTTTTGAGCATCACATCATTTTGATATTAGTTTCAAGAGTTGTCCACATAGTAAGGAGTATAATTAATTCCATTATGGTAATGAAAGGAGTTTTTTTTTTTTTTTTTATTCTTTTTTGGGAGTTTCCTCTCCACTATTATTGGTTGTCGGGGAACTTGAATTCCATTTATTCCAAGATGTGTGAAGGTGAAGATAGAGCCCTTTGCTTTGCTACTTAGAATCCACATATGATATGAGGTATATAATTAATAATTATTATAATTTCCCAAAAGAAAAGAAAAAATGGCACAGCGTTCTATCTTCCAAACAAGCACTTAATTGCATCGTGGACATAACCTAAGGTTCGGACCCAATGTCACAGAAATATGTCTCCCAATTTTGCTCCCATCTATATCTTCTGTCCCCTATTCTTTTTTCTCCAATAATACCATTCACTCCCCTATTCCTTTTTCCTTACAATTAATTAACCCTACTACCACATTCCTCTATTAAATTTAAATTATCAACTACCTTATTAATTAAAATTATCATACATAAACGTGAAAAAATATCCGAATTCATTTTAAATGACACACTAACGCTGTTCAAAACAAGCTATATATATATCCTCATTTAATTATAAACCTCTCCAAATTAAATGTAAGTTCATAAATATGACAATTTACACAACTCGAGTTGCCAGAGCAAGCATTCCTAAAAAGTGACGCGCATTAATTGAGGATTATTACAGCCAAATTGAGTTCATTAAGTGCACAAAAATTGAGTGAAAATTGTAGGAAGAAGAAGTAATTAGTCGAATCAGCTCCCTTAATTACAACGGTTTAGAAACCCTGATAATTGTTAAGAATTGATTAATGTATTAAAAATCTGGTTAGGTTGAAAGAGGAAAGGCAGAGGGCACAAATGTCGAGTAAGAAATCTTCATCAAATAATTTGAAAATGAAATGAAAAGCAAATATATTATATAAGATTTAATTAGTGAATGATTATTTGGCGTATGTAGGTACCCAGTGTGATCATCTCCACTCACTCGAGGCAGCTAACATATAATTAAATGTATTTTTAGTATATAATATTGGTGCATTGGCATATTAAAATATTGTTGTCTACGTGCATAATAATTGTGGAGATCAAATCTTTATAAAAGCTGACAAGGAATATAAAGTTTTTTCTTCCACAATGATAATTAATAATTAAAAGTTCATTGATTACTACTTCGTTGATTACTACTTTGAAGTAAATTATGCAATATTGTATATGTAGTAAAGGTTTACGGACGAAAATGAAATCAATTAAACGCTCTAGCTATAATCTCAAAAAATGAAACAAGGCTAAAACATTGAGAAATAATTCAGTATGAAGATATATATTTTTAGTGAGAATCCTATAAAGAAAAAAGGTGAATGATAATAATCCATCTTAATTAAAATTCGGTATAAGAATTTTTAAAGATAGGAATCCATTATAATTAAAAACAAGATTTACACCAGGCAGACATACTTGTTTTTTGAGTACAATGAGTATAAGTGAGAGATTTCATTTTACAGAATTTTACATGAAATTATACTTATCGTAACTGGGTAGAAATTTCATTTTTTTTCTCTTAGATCTATCATGTCAAGTAGTGTTATAATAAACAAATTTAATCAATATTTTATTAACAGAAAAATTATATAATAGAAAAATATTAAAATGTTTAGAATTAAAATTGAAGCTTTTTAAAGCTTAGAAACTAAATTGAAAAGATATATTTAAGCAGAGGGATGTAAAAATTTAAGTTTAGGGTATGGAGGGATGATGGATGGATATATATTGGTGTGATGTCATAAATGAATGTGTGTGAAGTGAGAGAAAACTAGAGAGAGAGAGAGAGAGAAAGGAGATGAATATTTGAGAGGTGAGCTTATGTAGGCAGTGTTTATTCTACTGTTAGTATTCCCAGTTTTAGTAAAATTTGAAAGGGACAGAAAGGCGATGATGTCGATTGAGAAAAAAGAGAAATTGCCACATTGCCTTGTCCAACCAAAACAATTCTGAATTCTTCAACAAAAACAATATAATTAATTGAATCTAGTCACAGTTAATTAGTAGTGTAAGTGGTGGAAAATGTATCAAATTGATGTAAGATCAAACTGAATTTGCCCAATTATCTCATATATATCCCACCTGGCCGGTAGCATTAATTAGGACCGAAACGTAATGATTATTGAAATGGAGAAATTAAAAGAAGAAAAACGGTTTAATTCAATAAAATGAAAGGTTGGGTAGTAAGGTTTTGTGCAAAACAATTAAAATTGTGTTAATGTTAATGGCGAAGGCGAGAGAGAGAGAGAGAGAGAGAGAGAGAGAGAGAGAGAGAGAGAGATAAGAAAAGCAGGTTAAGGGGCCCCAGGATATGTCCTCTCAAAAGACCCCCAATGTGATTTTAATCTTTTTCTTCTACTGCACCTCCCCCCACTAACCCAATAATATTATATTGTATTTTTGTTTTTCTGGCTTTCATTTCAGTAATTTTCCCCCAAATCCGCTCTTCCTTCCAGTTCCGCCCTCCATAATCCAATAGCAATAATGTTAGGCCAGGACAACGCGTCGGCGTCGGCGTCGTCGTCTGATCCACAAGCACAAGCACAAGCACAAGCAGCGGTTCCGCTGAGCCGTTACGAGTCGCAGAAGCGGCGAGATTGGAACACGTTCGGGCAGTATCTGAAGAACCAAGCGCCAGCGGTTTCGTTGTCGGAGTGCAACTGTGGGCACGTACTTGAATTTCTGAGGTACCTGGACCAGTTCGGGAAGACCAGGGTTCACTCACATGGGTGTGTCTTTTTCGGACACCCCGACCCTCCGGCCCCTTGTCCTTGCCCCCTCAAGCAGGCCTGGGGCAGCCTCGACGCCCTCATCGGCCGCCTACGCGCCGCCTACGAGGAGCACGGCGGCTCCTCTCACGCCAACCCTTTCGGCAACGGAGCCATCCGCACCTACCTCCGAGAGGTCAAAGAGTGTCAAGCCAAAGCCAGGGGAATCCCTTACCAGAAGAAAAAGAAGAAGAAGAAAATCATCATCACATCAAAATCAAATAATAACCCCAACGATGACACCTCTCCTTTGACCCAGATGGCTTAATTACTACTACAACTCATTTTCCATGGTGATTTCTCATTCTCTCTACAAATTCAATTATTAATTGCCTTTTCTTTTCTTTGCTCTCAGTTTTTTTGTTTTATCATGCCATTTAATTTGTCACCTCCTCCGCCCCATAACCCTTTGGAATTTGAATTTCTTATTTAAAACAAAAACCCATTATCCTTCGAATATAATAATCTACACACACGACACGCACACGTTTAAGTCGTTTATGGAAATTGGATCAAGTTTCAGTGTCCATACAGAGTCAGTTGATTAGTTAGAGCCAGAGAGAAATTGAAAAATGTCGAGGAAACCCTAGAACCAGCTTCTGAAAACCCTAATTTTATGCATTACAATTTACAACGCCTTTTTTAAGAAAGAAAAGAAAACTGGGAATTAAGCAAAGAATGTCTGAACAACTGTGGAGAGGGTCAGAACAAATAAATCAATTATGTGCCAACAGATGTTCATCTTTTTACACTTTTCTCTTTCTCTCTGATGCATCAGAGATATTGCTTTGATTGGTGTGCCATTCAAAAACTATTTTCTCTCTCTCTCTCTCTCTCTCTCTCTCTCTCTTCAAATTGAAATCAGCCAAAATAGTGTTTGTTTGATGTCCTAATTTAATATATCTAACTAAAATGTTTACTTTTCAAATAGATTTGGCCCTTTTTCGATTCTATTCGATTTTTTGCTCCCCATGCATGGACATCCCCATCCCACACCATATCATCTATCATCTATGTTTAATAATTAATCATTAATATCAAGCAAATCTAAACTATTTCAATTATATGTCAAAATTAGTATTTCTTCTGATTTTATTTGTCATGTGTCATTATTATATTGTTGGTATTAAGTAACCCTTCGTAAAGTGCACACCTTCCAAACTTCTTTAATTAATGTTCTTACATGTTGCCTAATTATTCTTATTTTAATTATTTCCATTTGTCTGATATGATAAGCATTCATCAATGTTGTGTTACATGTAGTGTAAGCATGCAAGCTTCCAATTAAATGTGTTTTTTTTGGACATTATTGGAATGTGCAAAATCTAATCTTTTATACCTTCCCTCTCCTCTCTTGTGTTGTTTGAGATTTAAGTAGTGGGTTAGATATAAGATATAATCAGAATTTGAATCTCAAGATTAATGCTAGACTTAAAATTTTTAAATAAATGTGTTTTTTTAGAGTAAATAAATAGGCTATAAAAATCTAATATTTTTAATATATTTTCAAATATTAAGTCCTATGACAAAATCAATTTAATACCTAGCTATTGATCAATTGGTTTTAGTCGACATAATTACGTTTAAGTTATACGATTATTTAATTAATTCCATATTGCAAACAGTTTGGTGAAATGTTTGTAGTTTGAAAATTTAATACAGCGGATTAATCATGTTTGAGATAATAGGCTGATATATAATTACCTAAATATTAGTTCACGTTAAATCATATTCAAATTAAATAATTCTAGGGATTTTGTGCACACTATACATTCAGTGAGTGGACCAGGTCAAAATTAATTTTCATTGATTGATTACATTTAATTTATCCTCTGTTAGAATTTACTCCTAATTAATTTATGTACTTGCTCATTAATCTTCAAATTTCAAAATAAACCCAAAATTATATTTCTAGTTCTTTATTTATATGATGGTGAATACACCCACACTTTGGGTGCTCTCTTTCTCCCTTTGATGCATCCAGTCCACTACTGGAATCCAAAATAAAGATATTTCCTTATTAAGAGTTTTCTTTGATAATGATTTTATTTTAAAAATATTTGTGTTTGTTTAGATTTGGTTGATAATGATTTCGACTTTAGTTCTCTTTTTAATAACTAGTAAGGTCTATTATTTGTAATGACTTCTTTTGTTTCATTCCAGCTTTTTGAAAGCATTTTTTGAGTTCTTACGTGATTTTTTTTTTTAATAAACTTATTCTCTTATAATTAGAATTAATTCAATAGACCCTATTGATAAAATTTTCTTTCTATTCTACCTTTTTTTTAAGACATTAGTTTATATATTTATATATATATATATATATATATATAATCGTTTAAAATAATTTTTGAAAAATATATTACAAAAGAAGAGAATTTTTTGAAAAAAAAAAAAAACTATCCTTTAACCATAAAAACCTTGAAACAAAATTCTTATCTAAAAAGGTCACATATAAACCTTAATTTTTTTCATTTGTTTCCAGAAGTATTGAACTAAACACATATTTTTCAAGGTTTCTTCTCCTGGAAATTTAACATTTTGATTGTATTACCAATTAAGTAGGGACGGAACCAAAATAATCGTGGGGTTTGTTAATCAACTGTGACTTACTCTGCTTAATAGTTTTAGAGAGATCTTTTTTAAGCTTATGTTCTTCCCAAATTTGTATTCCAGGGTTTCAAATTGGCTTTTTCATGACTTTACTCTATATCTATGCATTTATATAACCCCAATTGGATATAAAAGCTTCTAATTATTTACTTGTACGCAATCAAGATAGTATGTTTTAGTATGCTTTTAGATTATTTGGTAATTAAACATATAGTATGTTTATAGCATGAATACTCTGAATTGCCCTCTTTTTTATTTTAAGATTATTATGTAAAATAAAGTTGTTTACTACTTTTCAGTTCATATTTGTCTTTGAATCTCAGTTGCTGTGAGTAAATGCCTTATTAAGTCAGATTCAAGCACTATGCTTGGGTTAACTTGAGAGTTTCCTTCAAATTTCCAGTAAAATTTACTTATGTGTCTCATCTTTGTTATCAGTATGACCACTTATATATAGTTACCATTAATCTTAACTTAACAAATTAGATGTTGATCGCCCTCTCGAACACAGGAAGATAATATATCTTAAGAGTTAAGTAAAGGGTGGAGTTCATCTTAACATAATGGTTAAGGAAGGTTATTAAGATTGGAAATTCTTGTCTGATGAGTGATATTTGTATGCAGGAATTGAAAGGGAAATTTGGAGAATATTTGCACGATTCAAAATGTGCGAATATACGGTGCTCGGAGTTGGTGCAAAGAATTTAAATGGTATAATTCTGGATTTGAATAATCATAATCTAGGATATATTGAGGCAGCATAATTATAATTAGGGGGTATGAAATAGGCCCTTATTATTAATTAATTCTACATATTTTGTAGCAATGTCACAGGCACCTTCTTTCCGTTAGGCTAAAACATCAATTACTATTATTTACTATTGTCTTTTACTGTCTTTTAATATTCAAAACCAGAAGGAGATCAGAGCATCCAAATTTTATCTTTTAATCTCACTGCATATATTTATATATCAAAATTTTATAAAGACAGGTAAAACAATTTAGTTGCTGGAGGCTATGAACATTGTCTCGCACTCATTGTCTTTGTCGTTTCAGCAACCTGGTTATGTTTTTAAAGTGAAGTCTTTGAATACACCTTGGATTTTTTAGTGGAATTGGAAAAGTTACCTTTGCTTTTTCGGCACTGGAATGACAAAAAAAGAGGTCTAACTGGACGTGATTGTTCATGTTGAAGGTTTAATTTGAGACAGATATAACCACTTGCGAAATAGATCTATCAACAAAAAGAAATTATAATTTAAGATTCTGCAAATTGAATTCGGTTTACTGTTTAATGAAGGAAATATCCCAAACAGATATGAGTATAAAATTTCTTTCCGTTTCTTTGGTATTATAGCTAGAGGAAAAAATTCCTGGAAGTACCTATTTATTTTGTCCCCGCTATAATTTTTCCTTTGTAAATTGGCCTCACATCATCACATCGACAAACGACAATGAATGGAAATAAGTACTTACTCCTGTAGTACTAATTAGTAAGGGAAATTCGAACATTTCATAAATCATCGTCGTTATAAGACAACTTATTTCGTGTCTTCTTTCAAGAATGAAATAAAAATAAAACAAGGGCGTTTTCATTCACAACGTATCAGATTGCCAAGTTCTTCAAGAGTAGCTATTAGTATAACACTAAAAGAAATAGAATAAAACAATAAGATAATGAAGTTAGAGAAAGGTAAAATGGAACAAAAGGAAGAGATGGTGACTACAATAATACCATTTTTTAATTAGAGAAAAAAAAAAAGAACCGACAAGATTACAACTAACTCTAACTCTAATACATTAGACCAAATAAAGATCCAATCTGCTACCAAATTCAGATTCTTTTTCTATTCAATTAAAAAAAATAAAAAGATCTAAGAACGGTAAGAATATTAAGATAGCTCTAACAATCTATGCTTTAGCGGTTCAATTATACCAATATCAGCTGCAATAATATGTACTTGGGGAAGGGCAGAGACAGAGGAAGTTGAATACTTCCACAGAATCAACGTTTGAGCACTGTCACATGTCGCTAACCATACATGTCTGCAAAATTGGCAACCAAAATGTACGAAAATGAGAAACAATAACATTTGATGCCAAAATTAAAAAGAAAAAAATTTTAAACCATATATACAAACATGTTAATAAACATCAGAACGGAACTTGCAATCATGACACATTTTAAAGCATTCTTCTTCATCTTGCTCTCATGGGGGGTCCATACTGTACACTGCAGTACAATAGCTCATCAACCTGTGAACTTGAGGCATCTAAATTATTTAAGTTCGTCAATCCATATGTGTCCCGCATGGTTTAGATCCAAGAGATTTAGATACGTGTTTTTTACGGATTCTACCAGGACAAGCAGACCCAACTTTTATATCAAGTGTTTTATATCCCAACAGTTCATACAGGAATATAACTTGCAGGATATTTGGCAGTATTCATAGTTACCAGCCCAAATATAAATTGACAAAAAGAAAAACGATAGAAGGAAAAGACGCCGATGTCCCGAAAAGTAGATTTGATGTATTCCAAAAAAGTCAACTATTCATCAAGCATGCCAATTCCAATATCTCGTCTTAGATAAGTAACAAATTATATTCAAACAATGAAGCAGAGAAAAGATACAAGACAGCATCACAAGGGGGTGGAGACATTTAGCTAAAAGGCTTCCGGTTAGCAAGAACAATGTAATACTGAAAGTCCTCTCTGATTAATAGAGTTTTGGATTGGCTGGGGGGATAACAACTCAATACCTTCTCCAGTGAATCTATCCTTTAAGCTCCTCCTATTTCTTGTAACCAAAATTTAAAAAATTAGAAACCAAGCATACAGACCACTTTCCATGTACCAAATCTCTTGCATAACAACCCCCCAACATCGATCTATCAAGTTAAGGACAATAAGAATGTTCAGATAATAACGCACACTAGCAATGTATACAAGTTGCAACTTGCTGTGCGAAATTACCATGATACCAAATGTTCTATGTTAATCAGCAGAGAAACCCTATAGACAGCAACAGTTTGTTCTGCCAATTTTGAGTTCTTAGCATAAACAATCGGTTGTAATTTCCCACTTGGGAAAATATTAGGTTGTTTGCAATATTCTTAAATAACTCCTAAAATGCTCGTCTGTAATTGGAATAGCTAGAAGATAAAGTCACGATAGAAGATGGAGAAAAACAATTTATATTCTCGCTTATAAGTTGACAATGGAAAACTGAGTTCATAGGTTTCCCCACATCATGGTCCATCACTTGTGCATACTTGAAGAGCGAATTAGGTGAAACAAAATGCAAAAGTAAGTAACGAATAAGTTTAACCTCTTCAAAAAGACCACTCCTTTTAGACACCATCATTAAAGGGTATATATGCTGAAAGGGTTAAATCCTAATGCAATTAGAAACATCGCTCATATAACTCCAGAAGTTGACTACACTACATCTCAAGACTACTGCAGGTAGGGAACAAAAAGAGCCCAAGTAGGCTTAGAACAACGGGTTCCTTCAAAACAAACTTCAAACTGTGACAGTTTACAAGCAAAAGTGCAGATCAAACCATAGCAATTTCATGCATATTCTAGAAGATCCAGAGCTAGATTTTATGTTTCAAATTGGATATTGGAATTGGGATGCAACAAGTAATTGCACCTCCTTTATCAAAAACAATACCTACCAAGTGCACCTCTAATGTCTAATCCTTCAAAAACTAAACCAAACGTATTAAAGAACTAGAAAAAGAGTAGTGGATGAGAGCAAGCCATCTAATGGGTGGACAGAATTTAATTGAGGAGTTAAAAAGATCAAACAAAATGTAATCAGATTTCTAATTACACTTCAAAGTTCTATTTTTAATCTCTAATGAATGGAAAATTCTACATTTTAGAGAGTACCCCACCCCAAATTAAACAAAAGGGCAAAATGGTTGGAGATTTTAGTTACCATTGGAACCCGATTTCTTCCCCCGCTTGATCCTCTCGAGTTGAACTTGAGTTTCCGTAAACATCTGCATTCGCTCCACCTCCAAGTCCTTTGCAAACTGCATTCTCTGCTTCTCCAATTCCACCATCTGCCTCAACTTCTCTGCTTCCACTCTTTCATACATCTTTCCAAACCTCTCAATTGCTCTGGCCAACCTTCCCATACCCTCACCTTCTCCCTCCTCATCCTCACTGCCCCTCTC